TGGAGGGGCCCACTGACCTAGATACTTGCCCATACTATCCCACACACCCTGCCACTCATGGCTGTCCAGCCTCAGGGAAAAATCTCTCGGTCCTCCTACATTGTCGTTTGACCCCAGACAAGACCCAAACCTGACTCTGCTTAACTCTTGAAATCAGTAGTGGGCAAAACACACTCTGTATGCGTGTTAGCATGGTGATTCCCATCACCATCAGCAAACAAGTCTCAACAGCATTAAAATGCCTTTCAAAAAATTCAAAACTCTCAAATGTAAATGGTCTGGGGGGATGACTGGGAGGGTAAAAGAATGTCTCCTTCACAGGTTGAGCACCTGAGAAGGAGAAAAAAGATGTGTAATTGCTAAGCACCTCCATCATATACCTCCCAAAGTATAAAGGTGGTGACCACACTGGGAACATAAGCCAGATCAGTTTCATGATCAATGATTCTATTGTATTACAAGTCATTACCATAAAGTACAATGGGACAAAAACCTTAGCCCAAGCCCCACACTTGAAAAACACTAATACAGCAAATACCGGATGGACGTAAGATATGATATACTGAAACTGTGAGATCAAGAGGAACAACCTTGAGAGCCAATAAATCAGCATTGTGACGAGTGACTACCAATCCAGTTAGATCTGTTCTTATCTCAACCCCTCGTGCCCCACGTTGGGCGCCAAAAACAACTGTTGTGGTTTAAACCCAGTCAGGTAACTTGTTCACTCACTCCCAGTGAGTGGTGCCGAGCTGACAACAATCGAGGTCCGTGTCCCCCCCCCACCGGGGTTCTCCCCCACTCCCGGAGGAACGGGGAGGAGGATCGAAAGAGTGCAACTCCCACGGGTTGAGACAAGAACAGTCCAGCAACCAATGTACACAAATCACCACCGCTACTATCAACTACAACAATGATAAGGGAAAATAACAAGGGAAGAGAATACGATACCACCGGCCAAGAAGACGAGTTCCACCCGGAAGCCCGTGTCCTTCCGGGTAACTCCCAGTCACCCCCCACCCCGGCCATGACGTGCTGTGGTATGGAATACCTCCCTGGCTAGCCCGAGTCAGGCGCCCCATCTCTGCTTCCTCCCGGCTTCCCCTCCTCCCTGGCAGAGCATGAGCCTCACAAAGTCCTTGGTCAGGGTAAACATCACTTAGCAACAACTGAAAACATCGACCTCACCAACACTGTTCGCAGGCTGGAAGTCAAAACACAACACTGCACCAGCTAGCACAAAGAAAAAAAAAAAAAAATGACTGCTACTGCTGAACCCAGGACAAGTTTATATAATGAAAAGCTGATAGGTAAAGGCCTATCCATTCACGGGATTCACACAACTCCTCAGTGAACATCGCAGGCACCTGCTTCTCCCCTGCAAGGACTGGCTCCTGAGGCACTCTGCAGAGGGTCAGATAAAGGGGTGCCACTGCTTTTCTAGCTATACTTAGGTTTATGGATATGAAAGATGGGGTCCTCTGAATTTCTTGTTCTCAGGAACACACAAAGAGGGAAAGAAGTTCAGCAATGAAATTTTCCCTTCTGATACACCACTAGATCTCAAAGAAGTTATCTCGTTTTATTCATTAGGCACACTCAACTGGAGTACTTGGTAATCTTCTATTCTGTGACTTATAGTTCATTAGTTGGGACATTCACTCATCATGAGTGAGGTGAAATTATGATATTTATGTGAAGACAATCAAACCAAGAAAAAAAAGTTTTTAATTAAAAAAATAAACCCAACCTTAGCTTCTAACAATAGCAGTGTTAGAAACTGCCGCTGTCTTTTAAAGAGGTTTTAACTTATAAACGCCTTGCCACTTTTGAAAACAGGACCTGGCCTTCTAATTGACTCAAATACACTAAGAAATTGTACACAGGGTTAAGCAGCATATCTAAATTTTTTTGGTAATCTACATGCTTCTCAAAACCATTTTAACAGCTCTTGGGTTTTGACTCAATATCTTATGTACAGCATTGTTGTGAGCCCATTAATCATCATTTTTGTGCTATTGCTCCCACCTGGAAAGAATGAGTCTGTAATTGAAAAGGCAAATTTAGCATTTATATTGGCAATAACACAGTTTCACTGTCATTCTCCCCAAAAAGAATTTGAACATTATGGTGAACTATATCTCATTGATAAGTGAATGGAAGGGAAGTAAAGCTTTCTCATTACCAGGCTCCCATGAGCTAAGTCATTTGTTTGTTGAGCAGAGCCTTCTATTGTGTTATAACAATTACTTTTACTCCCAGATATGATAAGTCTTTGAAGCAGTACTTGGGAGATGCATGTGATCTACATTAGCAGAGAAGTAACACAGTGTTGGCTGATAAACTAATCTCATTTGCTAAGCACCTGATATTTCATAGTTGTGTGGCTTTTTTCTTCTAATAGTGAAAGCCATAGACTCCAATTCCAATAATTTAACTCAGCAGACTAAATTACTTAAATCCAAGACAGAGTTTGAAGTTATAAATTTTTTTTAGAAACTTACGTTGAAAACATAATGCTGTGCTTCAGCATATTTTACCTGGCTAGAGATTAGGACAGAGTTTGAATAGAGGCTTGTTATGCTGGCAGGTAGGTATGTATGTCATTCTAGGATAGCTTTTCAGGCTAAAGCATTTTTAGTAAGTTCCTGAATCACACTGCGATTAGAAGAATGAAGAAGTGCTACAGCAAGACAGTGAAATAGTCTTCATTTGTCATAAATTACAGCTAGCATTTAGATATAAGACACAGGAAATACAAGATGGATGGATCATTCTGAGAAATTATTAATATCAAAGTCAACAAAATGACAGACTGCCACAAAGTGGTTTTGCTACTTTTCAGTACTGTATGTGCAGAGTAAAACTGTATGTTCACTTAAATTAGCAAAAGAATCTAATCTGTACCTTTAGTTACAGGCTTAGGGAAGTATTTTCTGAAGCAACATGGACTTTAAAATATCTTGGTGGCTAGGATTATGCTTGAGTGATTTTTTCTTTGACCAATTTGTATTTGTCATTAGTAAAACCCCTTATTGTTATATGAAGTAACAGTTGCTACATACAGTTGTACCAGGATGCCCAGGTATTTCATGAATTGAGAGTCAAGAATAACACACATAGCAGTAGAATGAAATATAAAAATCAAATATAACTTTAAGGCTTCTGTTATTCAATGTATTCATATTTAAACAAAGCCCTCATGTAGATTCCAGTATGAATCTGTTTTGCCAAGCCATCCTCTGGCTTTATTCATCATACAGGTAAAAGTAGGCCCCCTAACTTTAGACACTGATCAATATGCCAATATGCTTGATGAAAGAGTCTTGTGCCGTGAATACTAAATAAAACAATCCTGACAAAGAAGGGAACAAAAGATTATACTGCTGTACAACTCCATGATTCTAAAGAATTTAAAATTCCCCCCCCCCCCCCCCCCCCGGAGAAAATGGATAAAAAAAGGAAAAATCTGTTAGGCAGATGGTGCTCACCTTTGATATCTTTGCTCACAGAAGCAAAGATAGGAAACAGTCTCCCATAGTCATGATTACCTGGTCTGCAGAGCAGCACTATTTCAAAGCATGGAGAAATAAGCCACTCTGATAAGTAACCTGAGAGCAATGGCCTCTTCCATATTCACTTGCAGTTGCTTCAGGCAACCAAGCTTTTTTATCTACTCATGGCCACTTAACTGACCTCTCTGCATGCATCTGGGCAGGTAACCAATTCCTCTGCATGGGGTGCTATCTAGTTCCTGCCTCATTTTCCTGGAGACTGAAAAGACAAAGAACATACTGAAATACTGTTCATATCACAGTATTCAAACTGTGTCATTTGTTGGGCATCACTAGGACTCATCTCCACCAGATGCCAGTTTTATGCATCTAGGCAATGCAGCTGCACACATGACAGAGAAGTTTTTTTGGTGGTTTTTTTTTTTTGGGGGTGGGGGGGTTCTTTTGCTGCTGTTGTTTGGCTTTTTGGATTTTTTAAGAGCTTCCAACAAGCCTGCCTCCTTTCTGAATGGTTTGTGCTGGCACATCACATCCTGAAAACAGACACATTTCCCAGAAACCTGTGTGGCCCCTTTTCTTATTTCTGCCTCAGAGGCCACTGCATGAAGCCATGCATCAGTTTTCCTTGCCGATTTTACAGCCCTGCTGGGGAAGGCTCACCACTCTGCTCACAGGTACCTTTATACATTACACAGTGCTGAGGTTCAGCAACTACCCTGGCAATGAGGGTATCTACAGCCCTTCTTTGGCACTGTCAGGATGAACAGCTCTTTCAGCCTTCTCACTTTTTTGTATTCCATGCAAGCCAACCATTTTGACCCTCCAGTTTCGCTTATAATCCTCTAAAAATCTCCATCCATTTCACACTTTCTCCTCTGATCACTACCAGAAGACGAAATAATATTCCACATCCCAGATGGCAAAGGGTCTGATCATCACACAGCACTTGTAATTGTGTGTGATGCAACCGTGGCAAGTAGGAAAGAAATTAACAACTCCATGGAAGAAAATATAAGTTCATCCTGATGCTACCTTGTGTCACCTTATGCTGCATGCTCCAGACACCAACTGCCCTCAGTTAGGTACCAATGTAGTATAATGAACAAGAACAGGCAGCCTGACAGCTGCAGAAGCTCAGGAGGTGATCTAAATCTGGGTTGAAACTTCAAAATACCACTCTGGTTGCCAGTTCCCTTTAGAAGCTTCAGGGGCTGATGGTTGTTCTTTTTTCCTTTCAGCAATGTGCAGCCTGAATTTGAGTACATTTAAATCAATTTCTTTAAGTACTGAAGCGGTGTCAGTGTCTCAAGTCCTTTCTGAGGGGCTGCATTAGAAAACGTTAGTGAATGAAGGAACAGAATTACCAATGTGCATCATCCAACGCAGCATGAACTGATACCACATCGCAGACAATGCCTTGGATGCCTTGACTTATGTCACCCTCAAGTCTAAAAGTGGTCTAGGTTATACTTAGCTTCTACTTACTGTCTCTAATCTTATTTGTTTTACTTTCTTCAATAATACTGTTTCTCAACAGGAAAAGCAAGCTACTGCATGTTCATGATGTTCCAAGCAGTCCTTTAAAGTCCTCTACAAAAAAAAATAATTCAAGAAGTGTTTCATTCTACTGAATTAGGATATATGATACAAAACATTGATTCAGGAAACCAATTTTCACAAATCATTTTCTCTTTGCTTTTTTAGCCTTTATCAATACTTACATTTAAAACTTCATGGTTTTATTACTATTTCTGTTTCAGAATCATGGTACAGTTTTATTCCTTATTGTGAAAGACCTTAAGAATTATTTTAAAGTAAATATTGCAGCACATATTCTTCACTTACATGTCAATATTCAACTAACGCTGTGATTACAAAACCATCTTTATTTCTATTGCAAGTTTCTCATACAGCACCCTGCAGAGCTGACTCACCTGCAGAGAAATCCCCTGAATCATTTCTGCTTGCTTTACACTACAGTTTTTCAGTACTTTGGGGAGCAGTTAGCTACTGGCTTTTCTTTCACTCCAATTTCCTCCAAATCAAAGTGACATAGCAAAGCTGCTAGAAATGTAAACCTTGCAATCAGTTGCCTTGCCTAATAAAAATGTTCCTAATTATCACATTATGTCATTTCTAGTACCTTTTTAGATGGCCAATGTTTGGACAAATTTTATTATGAAAAAGCCTAACTGAAATTTCTTCAGAAGAAGAATTTTCCTGTTTGTATTAGATGTCTAGTAATACATTTCTCACCTGACATAGGTTTGTATAAATTTTACACCATATGTTTAGTAATGTAGTCAAAAAGCTGCATTCAGATATTTTTAAGGAATAACCCACCCTCAGTGGAAAAAATTAAAAATCACTGGTTACTTGTCAGCATTGGGAACAGTAATGTGAATTCTCTCTCTCACACACACACTCAACCCTGCGCTTGTAATACTAACTTCCCCCCCCCCCTTACTACTTGATAAGCTGACAGCAATTGGCTGTTGTTCCAAACCCGTATTTCCCTGACAGCTTTCTTGTCTGGTTACAAGACCAGAAGAACTGGTTTCTCGCTGACCTAAGGACTAGGCTGGGAAGCCCCCAGTCATACTGGTTCTACCTAACTCTTGAGACAGTTCCTTGTGACAGAAGCCAAGTCTCCATTCACATAGGTGCAATAACTTCAACCAGCCAAATACCTTGGAAATTCATTACAACAGGAAATTAATTTCTGCTTTTGTCTGAAAAGGCAGGACAGTGGGGTCAGAACTGATGGGAACATGAAAGATAACTTGAAACTTGACTGCAAGACTTCCTTTCCCATTCAAACTTGAGTTTCCCTACTGGAGTAGCCAGTTAACAGATACCAAAGTGAAACCCATCACTTTCTCAGAATTTAGACAGCAAGAATGAACAGGGAGTGCATAACCATCTATGTGAACCAAATGTCACTCTGGACTCCTGTGCAGTAAAGTCTTCTACAATTGCAGTTTTAGAAACTGCTTAGGAATTAAAAGAAAAGCAGGATCTAAGATATGAAGCAGTCTGCGTCACTTCCCTTCCCTCTCCTTTTGCTCAAAAAGCTGAAATTTGAAATAGGTTTTGTGGAATGAATGTTTGACCAAAAATATAAAAAGCTCCCAGTTTCAGTTTAACATCTGTTGCTTCCTTTGAAAAATATGGGGAGTTGTCAAGGGTTTTATTTTTTTTTAATTGAGCAATTTATTTTTTTTTTAAATTGCTATTGCTTTATGATATTGGTATAATTTAACACATTAGGATGGTATAATGACCAGACAGTGCACTGCTGCATCACAGAAGAATAGGACACAGCTGCCTGTGCTTTGTGAAAGCAAAGCATTGAAAATAATAGCCTTGTGATGAAAGCACATTGAGCTGTTAATCACTTTCTAATATTCTGTGCACAGAAATATTCTCGAGATATCTGAAATTAGACACAAGAGGCAAAAAAAGGCATCATTTTTGAGTAGCTATGTGACAACTACAGCCATCGAACTATGTATACATAGAAATTGCTCTACTTGAATCCACAGTAGAAAAACTACCTAGTCTTTCCCTGGTTAACATATCTGCCAAACCCATCATTTTCATTCCAGAAGAGCAAGTCCCAAACAGTACAGAAGATGATGATTTAATTGTGCCAGTATATAAATGATGTGAATTACTTGGATGACTCCAGACACTGGGGGAAGTACAAAGGTATAACATGAGATATGTAGCCCAGAAGAGACAACTAAAGAATAAATAAATAAATAAAAGGGTCTTAACAGATTCAGAGACAAGAAGGTACTTTCTCTTTATAGCTCTATTGTGAAATATTTCAAACATGAAATCTTTTCAAGACCATTTAACTTTCTTTAGGAAAGTTAAAGCAGCATTCATCTTACACTGATCAGTCTCTTGTGTGCATTTAAAGAAAATGGTCTGGACAGAGAAGTAAAAATAAAGCTTTCTGTAAAGGACAAGCATTCATTAGCATACACCTGTTTATTGGAATAATTTGGAGACTTAAGGTAGAGAACATTAGAAATGCCCTGCTGGATCAGATCAATGGTCCATCTTACCCAGTATTTGCTCTTCAGCAGCAGCACCAGCAGATGCTATTGACTGAAAGCAGCAAGCCTGCCTACTGTTGTCTATCCCCTCCACACCTTCCTAGCACCCAGAGGACACTTTGGTTTTTTTTTGTTTCTTAAGTGGGGCTTGTTAGAGTGTACCCCCCCTGCTTATTCCCATCAGTTTAGGAACCTACTGCAAGCAACTTATCTATCCCAATTTCCACTCCCCCTTCCCCAGCTTGCTGGTACAACCTGCCTCCTTATCCTTGGATCACCTGAAGTTCCCAAAGCTCACTGCTGGACGAGGGTAGTACTTTCTCTAAGCCATACCAAATCGATTCAATAGTTTCCTCAAGTGGCCCCTGGTTGTAGTGCTGTAGGACTTGGTTAATAGCAGTTCAACAATCACCACTGTCCTTGTGATTTTTGAGCTCCAGCTACATGGCCATTCTTCAGGCCTCTCCACTCTAAACTGAACACTCTTGCCCTTTTCTCATAACATAGTTGTTTCGAGCTCTTAACCTATTTCTCTACCTGCTTTACCTCTCCTATGTCCTTCTTTCAGTCACAGGCAACACATGCTAGCAGACTCAGGACTTGGATGAGAGTCAGCAGACAGGCCTGTTTGCAGAACATTAGCAAGCTGTGACGAAGTGATGCAGTGCTCCTTGAAGCACACTATGTCACATCCTTTCCAAATGCCAGACTGCCAAGAGCAAAGGAAGAGGAACTTCTGTTTGAAAAAAAGAGAAAAAGCATAATTTCCTATTCTATTATATAGGACAAAATATGGGGCTGTACAGGTTACCCATCCTTTCCCAATGAGCTATAAATGCTAGACTTGAACACATCAGGTATCTGTGTGCATTGTGCTTTGCTATTTTATGACTCAAAAGTTTTACTTCTGTTTCAATCCTTAAACTGTAATGAACTGGGGGGGGGGGGGGGGAGGGGGAGGGGGATGAAAATGTCTCAAATCCTTGCATTTCCAAACTTGTCTTGGCTATGTGTGAACTCCAACTAACTTTGCAACTTGCTGTCACGCTCTCATGATGCATTTCCTATAGTAAGTCAGAAGATTAATCTCATGAGTGTATTTTCTCATAACAAACTCTCACCTTGCTATCATCCCTGACTTCCAAGGTTAGTAAGACAGATTCATTAGAGGCACAAAAGTCAATTTTCAAGTATGGCATCTTCTCGGATGCCGCATTTCACATCATAGCTTGCCTTTCTTTATGGGAGGTTCTAAAGAGTATAATAAAGTAATATTAACTTTTCCAAAAAATTAAATTGTCTAGCACACAATCATGTCCAAATTATTCAAAGGCATTTGTAAAACACAGTTTGAAATTCATGCTGTGTTACTCAGTCACCCAGCTTATTCATACAGGAGTAATGAATTTATCACTCGACTTGCATGTTAACTACTTCAACACAGATCAAAGTATACGTCTGACTTTCACCTAACATTTTTAGATTGAGCTGTAAGCCTCAAGATTCTAACCAATTTAAGAGGAAGGTGATTTGCAAAACTAGCCACCAGAGCCCTACTTGTAAACTTTTATAGTGTGCATGTAATTAAAAATTTGCTTCCAGCTTTGAGCATTCATGCTTCAAAAATGTGTTTTCCACACCTTTTATTACAAAAAAATAAAAAAAAAAAGCATTTTGGGACAAAGATTATTGCAGTCAAATTAAGACCAGCCTTCAACTCAAAATGTGCTGGGTGTATTGTAATAATTCTGAAGTATAAATTGAATGTGGTTTTCTTGAAGAACTTAAGTTTTAATTTGAAATAGTTAATTTCCCATGTTGAATACCACACAAACAAAAATGAATTTGAGCTAACATGAGGAAGGAATAATCAATGTTTGGGGTTTTTTTAATCAAATTTGGAAGTTTAGTCAGACTCTCCACAGGCTTTCTGAACAGCTATCAGTTATGTGATAATCAGCTTACTTTTACATTACTGTTGACTGTAACTGTCACCCAGAGAAAACTGTCAAGTTCCACTTTTTGGAGCTATCTAATGACTGTGTTTGATTCAAAGTAGAGGGCACAAGAGAGCTGTAAAAATACACAAATTAAACACATTTAGGCTTTGCATATTTTTGGTTGATAGAACATTTCAGAAGTTTCTTAAAGTGACAAAAAGCACAAAACAGGTATTCGAGTCACCCTCTTAAAAGGCAAGTGATCGAAGATCGCTCTTCTAATTCTCTTTTGTTCTGTATTTTATCTTTAATAGACTGAAAGGCATCTTCATCCTTCTAGGGGTGAAGGGGACAAGGACAGATTCAAAAGACACATCACTTGGAAGCAACAAGAAATAACTCCTCCCAAGATTCAATATAACTCAGAGCAATAACCTCCAGAGAATACACTGAAGATATTTGAAATTTCAATGCCTGATCACAGCTTGCTTCTATGTCAAAACTGTCCCATATTTGGGTCTTGCTGTAAAATATGGCTGTGAATAAATGTCATACTTGTCATGGTAGAAGTGATTCTTGGATGTATGGGTCAAGCTCTATTTGCTACTAGAAACAATGAATGATATATAAGTAAATAGACAACATTGCTAAAAGCCTTGTTTTGGTTCTACTCCATATTCAGCGGGGATACTGCAGAGCATCAACATCCCTAGTTGCACACCTTTGCAACTAGGTACACTGCTGCATATTTGTGTGCTTTTTTACAGCTAGCTGGTTATGACATGAACATGGACTTTCACAACAAATAAAGAGAAGGGTTTGCTGAGCAAGTTACAAAACACAGGATACCAGAGAAAGACAACTCTAAATGAAAAATTTCTCTTTGTTAATAAAAATACTTAAGTGTTTTCAGACAAAACCTCAACAGGCCAGTTTCCAGCAGACTTCTCAGATTTTCCCTTCTTTTTTCAGCTCCAAATCTTTTAAGCCACAGTTTCAAATCAGACACATTTTCTTTATGCATCATTAATAAATCACAAGTTATGCCTTCTT